GAAATATATCGCCGTTCCTTCAGTGTCGCTGGGTCAGAATCTGGAACTCACTGCCTGTAAGGCTGGTAGAGGCAGAAACCGTCATCATATTGAAGAAGTATTTAGATGCACACTTGTGATGATAGGTGTTTTTCTTTGATCAGCACAGACTTGATGGGCTGAAGGACCTTCGTCTTGTGCTGTAGACCTCTATGTCACTAAAATCCTGGAATTACCTCCATCAGGGCATTGTGGGTAAACTTACAATAGATGGACTGCAGCGATTCAAGAAGGCAGCTCACCACCATCTTCTTAAGGAGCAACTAGAGATGGGCAAGAAATTCCAGCCCACCCAGCAATACCCAAGTCTCAGAAGTGAATAAAAACAAACCCTAAAGGAAACAGTAAACATCTGGGGTATTCCAAAAAAATTCGATGGTTCTTTCATAGTCACCATCGCTGAGAATAGCTTTCAATTAGAGACTTATTATTTGAATGTAAAGAATCCAATGGTGCGATTTGAGCTCTTTAACCTAAGCCTTTACATGACTTTATAACTACACTATACAAAAACTGCAGTTGCAAAAGTAGGTCAGTGACTGGCAAATATGTCTTTGGAATCCCCTCATCAATTTATTCACGGCAATTTTACAGTGGTGACCTCGAATTTTAAATTCCTTCCAGAATGGGAAACATCTTTACTCCATTGACAGAATTGAACCCTTTCAGAATTTAATAATCCTTGAAAATCCATCCCCCTTTAGCCTTCTCCTGACTGTCGTTAAAGAGTCCCACCTATTTCACCTTGTGTGGTGGTTATGCATATTCTGTTCTGGTATCAGTCTTCTGAATCTAAATTGCACCTTCCCCAGCAATTTGATAGCTTTTAGAGCATCACTGCTCAGATATTTTGACTGTGGTCTGTCTCCTTCACATTCACGGGATAACATACAGTCATGGAGATCTGCAGTTCAGAATAAAGCCCTTTGGCTCGTCATGTCTGTACCAGGCTGAGTGCTATACCAGCACTCTGTCTTCTCCTTTTACAGGAATACAGCGATCCACTTCCCTCAGTGCCCCTCTGCTCCTCCCCCACCACATCCCAAAGCTACCTCCGCCTCCCCCCATCCCCACCCATCACCACCAACCCTACAGCTGCCTCAGTCAATGAAATGACTGTCCTTCCATCCACCAGTGGATGCTGTGCCCAGTGCGGTGCCAGCGAGAACTCATAACGTAACAGACGTGAGAACCGAAACGTCTGCTTTCCTGCTGCTCTGACGCTGCCTGGCCTGCTGTGTTCCTCCAGTTCCACACTGTGTTATCTCAGACTCCAGCATTGGCAGTTCTTACTATCTCTGAGAGTGTTTGGGGCTGCCCTCTGGACACTCTGAACAGGAACTGAAAATCTCTCCATGTTGCGAATTCTAAATCCTACCCTGTACTGTAGCGAGCAATGTGAACTTACCCTTCATCGTCATAATGTACTCGAGTAATGGTCCAGGTGACAATAAACAGCATTGGAGTCCCTGGCAAAAGAATTAAAGAGAACTTTACTTCAGATACCATCCAGTATGAAGCAGTCTGTTTAAATTCCATCTCATCCAAATGCTTGAACATTTCTTTCTCCACTACTGAAGCTCAGTGTGTACTATCTACAGGATGCAATACAAAAATTCACTATAGGGTCATACAGCATGGAATCAGACCCTTCGGCCCAACTTGTCCATGCCGAACAGGTTTCTTAAACTGAACTAGACCCGTTTGTTTTTGTTTGGCCCATATCCCTCTCAACCTTTCCTATCCATGTACTTGTCCAAATGGCTTTTAAATGTTGTAAATGTACCCACATCTAACACTTTCTCTGGCAGCTAATTCCACATACGCACCACCCTCTGTGCGAAAATGTTATGCCTAGGTCCCTTTTAAATCTTTCCCCTCTCACCTTAAACCTATGCCCTCTAGTTTTGGACTCCCCTACCCTGGGAAAAAGACCTTGTCTATTCACCCTATCCATGTCCCTCATGATCTGATAAACCTCTAGGGCCAGGGCCTGGATGTGACTCCAGACCCGCAGCAATGCTAAACAGGGTTGGACACGCTCATCCCGTGAAATAATTTTTTAAAAAGTTGGCTACCCTAACGTGCCCTCATATGCAAAACTCCACCGTCTTGCGTTCCTAGGCGCCAGAGGTATTCAGCAACGTTTGAGAATGTTTCCACAGTACAGTACTATCAGAGAACACGGAGGGAGAATTATCCATGAGCACTATGTAACGACAACAACTGTGAGTTTGCCGTGGGAGCACTGCAGCTAAAAATACTTCCTTGTTAAAGAAATTGGCTTGCTCCAAGATGTAGCTCATTTACGAACGTATAAAATTTACACAGATTTGACATTTTGAGCGTAAATGATTGGTGCCAGGCTGTAGCACAAATGATCGCCACTGCAATAAATTGTTAAAAGTGCATAATATTATTGAATAAAAGCTCAGCCAAAAGTACTTCTTTTTAAAATTCTTGTCCCGTGAAAATCTTTTGCTGGTCAGGTAGGGCTGATTTTCCAGTTTCTACCCTCCCATCCCCGGTTACTGTGAGGAGAGTCCGTTCTCAAGATTCATAGAATGTGCTTCTTTATTTGAGGAGTAGCCAATGGATTGAGAGTATGAATTGAGTTGCAGAGTCACAGACTCGTCCAGCCCAACCAGTGATGTCTGCATCCTGTGAAAGAATGTGTAAAGTAAAAGTAGAGCCGTAGAGATGTGCAACATGGAAACAGGCCCTTCGGCCCTACTCGTCCATGTCGACCAGATATGCTTTATTTATTTAGACCCATTTGCCAGCATTTGGTCCATATTCCTCTAAACCCTTCCTGTTCATATACCCATCCAGATGCCTTTTAAATGAAGTAATTGTTCCAGCCTTCACCACTTCCTCTGGCAGCTTGTTCTACACACACACATCACCCTCTACGTGAAAAAGTTGCCCCTTAGATCCCTTTTAAATCTTTCCCCTCTCATCTTAAACCTATGCCCTCTAGTTTTGGCCAATACAGTCTGGGAAAAAGACCTTGGCTATTCACTCTATCCATACCCCTCGCAATTTTTTAAACCTCTGTAACCTGGCCTACATGTGACTCCAGGCCCACAGGAATGTTAAATAAGGTTGGACACACTAATCTCATGAATTAATTTTTTTAAAAACTTGGCTACCCTAACTTGCCCTAATATGCAAAACTCTACCATCTTGCATTCCTAGGCGCTAGCAGTATTTAGCAACGACAGATAAAATGCTTGAATGTTTCCACAATAGTTATCTTCTAGTTTTCGACTCCCCTACCCTGGGGAAAAGATCTTGACTATTCACTCTATACATGCCCCTTGTGATTTTATAGGCCCCCCTTCAGCCTCCGATGCTCCAGGAAAAATAGCCCCAGCCTATTCAGCCTCTCCCTATAGCTCGAACCCTCCAACCCTGGCAATATTCTTGTAAATCTTTTCTGCATTTGGTGAAATATAAGCACAGGAGGTGTCCACTCGGCCCCTGGTTTCTGATCTGCTTTTCTGAAGGGGCTGCCAATTTCCCCGCCCAATGAAACTTTTCAAATGTTCATTATGTGAAAAAAAAGCTATTTTGGATCTTGATTTATGACAAGACATCCTGAGCCTTATCAATCCTCTACTTTTCAAATTTTTATCCTAACCTCTCCCTTCACTTGTTTGCTGATGGCCCTTGAATTTCTATTCTCTTGACACCCACTCACTGATTGAGAGTTTTTTCTTTAAGCAGCAGCTGTCCTTTCTGGATTCCTTTCTAAATTTCTTGATTGCCTCACACTACATTCACCTCATGAAAGGGGCCATTTTGTGTGGGGTGTGGGGTGTGTGTGTGAGCCGAGGCCCTCAGGAGTAATAGTTGGTCATTCTCGAGCCTGCTTGGCAGCTGGATATCTTGTTGTGTGCGACCGTGAGGCAAGAGAGGCAGCCACCTAAAACAGGCATTAAGACCCCAGTGGGTGCCATATGTTGAGGGACTTATGATGCCCTTCTGAAGAGATTGGCCGAGTTGTGAATTGTGAGCATACGGCCTGCTTCCTGGGGACTTTCCTGGTGACAATGCAGCCTACGAAGTGGTCTCTGTCGGTCTGGTGAGTCAATGATGTGGCCTACAATAGTAGGAGCAGTGTTCTTGTTGGTCAGGTATTGGCCCAGGATAGCACCACCACCTCCTCAATCTCTGTGTACCCCACATCCCCATCTCACCATCAGCAACACCCCCCCAACCCACCCCACCTCCAACTACCCTGTGATTCTTTTCCCTCCCCCTCTCACGACCCAAATCCTTCCTGCTGTTGCTGATGGATTAGGCCAGAAGCGAAAAGATTGAAAGTGTGTAAAGATCTGACAGATCAAGGCGGAGGTGAAGCCTGAGGCCCAATTTGTGTTCTCAGGCTTCCCTTTAAGGAAGGAAGGGAATCTGCTATCCTTACTCATGTGGCCCTAGGTGTGTCTTCATGTAACTACCCCTTGGGAAATTAGGGATGGGCAGTAAATGCTGGCCTGGCCAGAGTTGCCGACAGCCCATGAACAATTTCGTAAACAAGAACACAAGAAATAGGAGCAGGAGTAGGCCACTTGGTGAGGGGTGGTGACTCTGTAGGACTCATTGCAGTAGAGGGTCGTGGAAGCCAAGTAATTGAGTGTTTTTAAGACAGCGATAGACAGGTTCTTGATTAGTGAGGGGATCGAGGATTGTGGGGAGCCATTTTTAATGACTTGGTAAAGCTGTGCAATGAAGAGCAGTAACAGAAAGCTGACAAACCTCTTTCACGGTCGGCGTGGTGGTGTTGTTGTTGTATCGACAGGCCAGGATGTATGGGATTGAGAGACTGGCCCAACCCTGGCTCGTGCAGTTCCTGCTGACATTAGCTGCAAGGCAAACGTTTTGCATGTTTTTATTATTTTTGGACAGAGACTGAGTTGTGTCACAATAACTCGCATCCAGATAGCACCTTCAATGGAGTTTTAAAATATTCCCAGTAATGAGGAGTTAGTAATGAGGCAAAGGATCTGGCTTGGGAACTTGAAGGAAGATGTGCATTGACATAGCTCCTTTGATGGCCTCAGGCAGTCCCAATGTATTTTGCAGACAATGAATTAATTTTGAATTGTAGAGAGCGTAGAATCATAGAAGTCTACAACACAGAAAAAGGCCCTTCGGCCCATTGAGTCTGTGCCAGTCAAAAACACTCTAACCCCATTTTCCGGCACAGAGCAAAGGGTCACAAACAATAACATGATAACAGTAACATATTGGCCAGTCAGAGTTGACTTGCCAACCAATCAACACCTTTTCCCCTGCAGTAGAAATTGTTATGATCTTTAAAAGCTGGCATTCTTGTATGTGTCCTGATGAGTGCAAAAACGAGAACATGTCTGTCTTTTCAGCAAGATCGAATGTGATAAAGATTGGATAATCTGCCGTGGTGATGGCAGATGAAGAATAATATTGGCTGGACAGAGTGTTAGGAACTTTACCTACACTGCCGTGCCCCAGTCCTGATAATTACAACGGCTGGGATTTCTCAGTACAGGTAGTGAAGCAGGTACCACAAGGACAATCTTCCCGTCAGCGACCTCCAAAATGGCCGACAGGGTGACTGCTTGACCAAGGATGGTGGGTTGGTTCTGCTGGGCCAATCAGCTGGCAGGGCTGGTGCTGAGGCTAAAAGGCAAACGGGGCCTTTGCTTGTTAATAGACAATTGGGCACATGGATGTTTTCCTAGTGGTGGAACAAAATATATAATAAAGGCCATTCACAACAGTGTCTTTTTTCCGTCTCATAGATAAAAATATATTTAAAAAAAAGGCAAAACAAATATAATCATGGGTGATCTGGGGGAAGAAAAGAAAATAAAGTGCACTACTGGGCCCTAAACAAATAAAAACTAAAAAAAAAGGCAAATGGGAAGACGCCTCCATTTTGAGGTGTCGTCATAGGGGAGGCAGAAATACTTCCCGGCAGCCCCACCAATGGCAGGGCCAGTGGAAGATCCAGGTGCAATAGCTTGCTGGGTCCTTCCACTGCATGTCACACTGCCAACCTTTACCAATTTGTGATTGGGTTTGTGTGTCGTCACCAAGCCTCTTTCCTCGGCCGAGTCTAAGGGCTTACTTGGGTGTCAGTAGTGGAGAAAAAAAAATCACCAGTGAGCCTTAACAAGAAGAGGCTTGTATCCTAAACAAGATGTAGTTAAATTGGACAATAGCAATCAGTGACAAGGTACGTTGATAAGTTAGACACTGGGAGGCCTGTGGATGTAGGCCTTCACTCTGGGTTACTGTAGTTACCTTCCACGTCCAGGAAAAGTGCAGGCAGCAATGGACAAGGCATGACCACAATCTCCCCGACCTGAGCTGACGGCCAGCACGTGAGGTTGTCCCACATTCCTCGACATCCTGCAAACCAAAAGTACATATCCTCAAAGTGAATCAGAATCCACTAGGCCTCTTACAATGGTCTTCAAGAACTTGACAGGGTCAGTGCTGAGAGGAGGTTTCTCCTCATGGGAGAGTCTAGGACCAGAGGCCATGGTTTCAGAATTAAGGGACACCAGTTTAACACTGAGATGAGGAGGAATTTCTCCTCTTGTTACAGACAGCTGTGGGGGAAGGGTCCTTGTGTGTATTCAGGGCTGAGACAGAGAGATTCTTGATCAGTCGGGGAATCAAGAGTTACAGGGGGAAAGGGCAGGAAAGTGGATGTGAGGAATGTTGGTTCGGCCATGGTCCTATTGAATGTTGGAGCAGGTTTGAGGGGCTGAATGGCCGACTGCTGTCCTTATTTCTTGTGGCCTTAAAACACCATACCTTAAGAACAGAACAAACAGGACGAGTAGGCCATTTGGTCGAATGTGCCTGTTCTGTCATTCAACAAGATCAATCCTCAATGTAGCCTCAATCTGACTATCTGTCAGCACCTCTCAAACTCCCCTCACCAGCCCTGAACAATTAGCCCCCTTGTCAAATTGGTCTAGGTCAGTCTTAAACATAATCAATGATTCAGACTCCCCTGCTCACTGGGGATGAGAAATGAAAAGGTTAATTGGGCCCCTCAAAGAAGGAATCCCTTCTTATCTCTGGTTTAAATAGGGGACTCTTTAAGTGATGTGTAGATCCTTGACAATGTAGGGCTCAGGGCTGCAACACTGACTTAACTTCAGGTTTCACTGTTTAGATTGGGCCTCCCATTTTGCACAAACACATTCATAGAGTATTAGAGTCATGAAGTCATACAACATGGAAACAGACCCTTTGGTCCAACTCGTCCATGCCGGCCAGATATCCTAAATTAATCTAGTCCCATTTGCCAGCATTGGGCCCATATCCCTCTAAACCTTTCCTACTCATGTACCCATCCAGATACTTTTTAAATGTTGTAATTGTACCAGCCTCCACCACCACCTCTGGCAGCTCGTTCCATACACACACCACCCTCTGTGTGAAAAAATTGCTCCTTAGGTCCCTTTTAAATCTTTCCCCTCTCACCTTAAACCTATGCCCCTCTAGTTTTGGACACCCCTCATTCACCCCGGGGAAAAGACCTTTGCTATTCACTCTGTCCGTGCCCCTCATAACTTTATAAACCTCTATAAGGTCATCCCTCAGCCTCCGATGCTCCAGGGAAAATAGAAATAAAATCCAGCCTCCCCCTATAGTTCAAACCCTCCAATCCTGGCAACATCCTCGTAAATGTTTTATGAACTCTTTCAGGTTTTACAACATCCTTCCTATAGCAGGGAGACCAGAATTGTATGCAGTTTTCCAATGTCCTGTACAGCCGCAACATGACCTTCCAACTCCTATACTCAATGCACTGACCAATAAAAGCAAGCGTACCAAATGCCTTCTTCATTATTCGATTAGAGATGTGTTAAAACTATCACACAGTGGGATTTCAATTTCCCGGAAAAGGTTCAAGTTTGCAAATGGCAGACCTTGAGACTGGGCACACACTAGAGAATGAGAGGGAGGGTCAAAGAGCATGTACAAGAAGGTGTGAAAGAGATAAAGCACATAGTGCTAACTCAATGGGACGAAGGTCCTTCTTCTGTGCTGTAGACCTTTATGACTCTGAGGTCGCAGGGAAGTATTCAATCGCCCTTTTAACTCGAGGTCAACTAGAAAAATCATAAAGTCAAGAGTTTCATGGAGTATTCACAGCACAGAAAGCGGCCCTTTGGCCCATTGTGTCCCTACCAATCATCCATCATCCCTTTATTCTCATTCCATTTTCCAGCGCTTGGCCCATTGCTTTGTATGCTGTGGCATTTCAAATATTCATCTAAAGAGTTATTAAGTCTCTTGAGGATTCCTGCCTCTATCACCCCTTTCAGACGGTGAGTCTGGGAGAAAACACGTCCTTCAGTCCCCTCTAAACCTCCTGTTACTTACCTTAATCAGTGCCCCCTGGTTCCCGACCCGTCTACGTAGGGGAAAGGTTTCTCCCATATCTATCCTGTCTATACCACTCAGGTCGTCGTACACCTCAAATCAGGATCCCTCTGCCTCAGCCTCTTCTGTTGTAAGGAAAGTAACCACAACCAATCTAATGTCTTTTCGTAATATTGATGTTCTCTTTAAATAATACCCCTGTGTAACAAAAGTGGTCCTTTCATTCCCATAGCGATTATAACAAGGTCAGCCAGCTGGACCTCAGAATATGAGTTCCCTGGTTGGGGCTGTTAATCTTGTCCAATCAGGGAGCCCTGGCTGACATAAAAGGTTGAATGTCAGGGCTCTCGTCCAAGCCTACGCATTCATAAATAATGACTGATTGGTGATGGGACACCAGCCTCAGAGGAGTTATTTCAGTTCCTATCTCGCTCCTTCCCTTGCTGAATTCCTGTTTCTCAAAATAAACGTTAAAGGTGGGTTACTGAGCATTCCCGAAGTAATTGACAGCATTATTCGTGACATTTTCTGGCCTTTCGCTAAGACACTGCTGTCAAACATATCAGCATCATTTAACACTATTATTAAACACTAACCATTCAAGCTGTCACACTGGGTCCTGGGATATTCTGAAGGGAATTGCTGATCAATATTCCGTGTCTCTGTGTCTGTGTCTATGCGGGTCCTACCCAATACTGTGTGTAAAGTAGCTGTCACTAGAAGCTCAGTGAAGCATAACAGTGATAAGAGTTTATTTCTTATTTGAAGTACACGTGATGACCTGACTCAGACCGTGCAGGATAGGGAGGTGGTGGCCTCGTGGTATTGCAATAGATCTAGGAACCCAAAGGCCTAGGGCTTATGTTCAAGTCACATTATGGCAGTGGGTGGATTTACAGTTGAATTAATAACAGGAGGAGGACCAGCCAAACTACCTCCTCTGACCTGCTCTGCCATTTGATACAACCGTCGCTGAAATGTAGAATTGAAAGTTACTCTTGTGACGGTGACCATGACTGCACAAAAAAAAATGGCCAATTCAGCCCTTCGACCTGATCCACTACACAACACAATCATGGCTGGTCATCCAACCTTGTTCTTGCTTTCTCCCCATACCCTTCGACCCTAGATCTAACTCCTTTATGAAAACATTCAATGTTTTGTCTTCAAGCACTTTCTGTGGCAGAGAATTCCACAGGCTCCTCACTCCCTGGGTGAAGACATTTTTCCTCATCTCAGACCTAAGCGGCCGACCCTGTATCCTTAGACTGTGACCCCTTGGTTCTCATCTTTTTAAACCTAAAATATAGGACCACAAGCCACTGATGGGAAATGTAACACAAACAGAAACTAATCATTAATGGGAACGCACAAAAGGTGAATGACAAATCACATGATCCAGGGAGAGGATACTCCCCAGCCCCTGCGGTGCCCAACAATCTCTCAAGGCCTCCAGCAGCTCCATATCTCTAAGAGTAAAGAAATGTCAAGCACATTCTTTATCCTTCCAGCTTTGATTCCAGTAGCAGTGTGTGGAGCAGCTAAATTCTGGTGAACATGAGATTGTGAGAACTAGGATTAGGCCATTCAGCCCCTATAGTCTGCAATAAGAAGTTGAATGACACCAGGTTATAGTCTAACAGGTTTATTTGAAAACACAAGCTTTCGGAGCCTTGCTCCTTTGGCAGGTGAAGTGACTTCACCAACCATCCTCTGGGGCTTCATCTGATAAAGGAATAGCGCTCCAAAAGCTTGTAATTTTAAATAAACCTGTTGGACTATAACCTGATGTCGTGTGACTTCTGACCTTGTCCACCCCAGTCCAACACCGGTACCTCCACATCAAAGCAACAGATATGATCTAGCTCTTCTTTCCTTCCTGCTGCCCAATAATCCTTGATTCCCCTCTGCAACCTCTATCAAATTCTAAACACTGATGACCCTCTGATGGATGAAATTCTCTTCACCTCCATTACTCTAGTTCCTTAGACAACACCTTCAAAATCAAATCCAGCCCTCCACCTGAGTTCTAGACTCCCCGTAGTTCTCGGGTCCCTACCGGCGCCCCGTCTAGCCTCCCCCCTAGTTCTAGACATCCCCCCACGACTAGTTCTGGCCTTCTGCCACCAGTTCTAGACTTTCCCTCGTAGTAGGCTCCCCCAGTTCTAGACACACCCCTTCCCCCCAGTTCTAGACACTGCCCTTAGTTGTAGCCTTTCCCATGCAGTGGATTATCCTCACAGCAACCACCCTTCAAGGCCCCACGCTCCCAGGACCTTTTTCTGTTTCAATAAGATCACCTCTCACTCTTCTAAACTCTTGAAGGATAAAGACCCAACCTGCTTAACCATTCCTCATGAAGCAAATTCCTATTTGCTCAAATGGCCACCCAATGGAGGGTAAGCTTAAGACAGGCCTAAGAGGTGTCTACACTCAGAATGGCACTGAAATCCTAACGCAACAACATTTGGGCCTGTCATATATACCTACCATGTGAGCAGCAGTCCCTATCTAAGATGGCCACATTTCTTTACTGTACCTAGCACCCAATGCCTATCCAGTCTAGTCCTTAATGTTGACATGAGGCAGAACTTTCAAAGCATAACAAATGATCTCGGGGATGAAGGGCTTATCATATGAGGAGCAGTTGAGGATTCTGGCTCTGTACTTGATAGAGTTTAGAAGGTTGCGGGGGGGCGCGGGATCTGATTGAAACTTACAGAATACTGAGAGGCCTGGATAGAGTGGATATGGAGAAGTTGTTTCCATTAGTAGGAGAGACAAGGACCTGAGAGCACAGCCTCATGGTCCAGGGACAACCCTTTAGAACTGAGATGAGGAGGAATTTCTTCAGCCAGAGAGGATGGTGAATCTGTGGGACTCAGTGTCACAGACGGCTGTGGAGGCCGGGTCATTGAGTGCATTTAAGACACAGATAGATAGGTTCCTGATTAGTGAGGGGGTCGAGGGTTAACGGGAGAAGGCAGGAGAATGGGGTTGCGAAA